TTAGCAGAACGAAACCGATTTCTCGTCAAGGGCTTGCCCTCGTGTGGAAAACGAGATGCAGGCCAGAGGAATAGTCCTCTTCAAACCTGAGCTACTACACCCAATGGTGAAAATCAGTCGCACACGATGAAGATGAGGTCAAGCTTCACCTTTCCGAAGAGGATGTGACCGACGTCCGTCCACGGTTCGGCACGTGGATATGACAGTCCGCTCGTGGTGCAACGGGTGGGGAGATCGAAGCTACAACCACTGCTCTATGTTGAGACAACAGCGCTGTCACTGCAATCGCTGTGCAGCTATCTTCTCAGCTCTAGCTCCAAAGCAGCTGGTATGTGATGCGAGGTCACGTAGATAGGTAAACATATAGTGATTTATTATCAACAGACAGATGCCCGAGCTGTCTTGACCTGAACGGTTACAGATTTGGCAACTCCCACAATACCTCATCAAACCCATGCAGTGCAGTAGAAGAGAGTCGTTTTTGTACTGCAAGTACTCCCAACGATCTCCTTTGTTTTCTCTTAACGTGGGGCAGAATAGGGACGCCTGGCTCTTTTTCCCATACTTTATTCCAACATTAAAAGAGAAAGCAACCTTCCCGCCTGAACCTGGGAATCAGTGCTAATATCAGTAGAGGACACCATCAAAAGGCATCGTGCGTGCTGGCACGTTCAAGTATATATCGAAGGTCGCGGCAGCCTCTGAAAACGGTCCGAAATCTGCTCCGGAACCGAGCGGCATCCAACACTTGGCACAGCCGTGCTCGCCGCCACGGACCGTAATCCCCTGAACCGAGGGTTGTCAGAAGTAGCTAGTGGCATCAGCTATTGCTGTAACCCCGTAGTTCAGGAGATTGGGGTCAGCGGCAGCGAGCACAAGCAGTAGAAGACACTGGATGTCGGTCTAAATATGAGGAGATTGTATGCCGCTACTACGACCCTCGATATTTCCACCATAGAAGCAGATTTGAGCGCGCCAACACGCACCCCCCGCTACTATAGGATGTCCTCTAGTGATGAAGTACTATGCACCTTAAGCACTATGCACCACGTGCAACACAGAGCTTAATTGAGCGCCTGCCGTTTTTGATCGTTTGACTTGAATTTAGAATGCTGCGAAATTTGTCTTGATTTCAAAGGAGGCGTGTGGAGGTAGACGCATGAAATGTATGTTTTGAGAAGCCTCTACTGCCGCCCTGTGCGAGAACCAACGATTCTGTTTTTCGCGATACCTTCCGACTGGTCCTGTGCCTCTCGTGTGCCATTTATGGTGCTATTGCGTTTGTTTTCATAATTTGTCAACATCAATGTTCGTTTTCTGCCATCCCTCATGGCAATGAGGCCTCGAGAGATGGGGGACATGTGACACAACTTAACGGTGCCATCATCGGGGTACTGCTGTACCAATACGAAATTGGTGTGCTTTGCCAAAGCTACATCAACAACAACCGCAGCAGGGGTGAACCTACCTCCAGAAAACAGCTGCAGCTACGATAGACCAGGTGGAACGAATGCCCCCCTGCCCCCCAATGGGGCGGGTGGCCAGACCGCCGTTGCAAGACAGGAAAATATATCTAGAAGCCGATCATTCACACGACATGTATCGCCACGCACATCAAACAAAAAAAAATCGGCGTTGTAATGAATGCGAGATGTCGGACGGACTGTACAGTGGCGGGATTTCGGCGTGGACAACTCTTAAGGGTTGACGCAATGTTGGACTCGTCTCTTGATAAAGGAGTGAAGTCGTCACCGCACGCAGCACAACAAGTTGTCGTGCATGTTGTGGCTAGCACGGTTGAGTTGCTGTGCAACTAGTGCTTTGGCAACTGGTGCAAAACAAAATCGGTCCCAGCTATGTGCAGTTGAACTCTATATGAATTGTCTTTGATGGAGGAAGACGCTGTGGCGTTTAACGTATGGTATCAGACACAAAAAAACGAGGAAAACATGAAAGAGAAGGTCTACAAAGTTGCAAAGTTGTCGTCCACTTCGAAGATGTCGTCGAGACGTCTATTACGCTCGTTGATATGGCGGTTCTGCGTTCCCGGCGAGTCTCGTTTACCCTGTTCGCTCTTGTGGAGTGTATGGCCCGCCGACGCGCGTTGATGGAACCCGAGGTTGCCGCATATCGCTCTCGTCGGCGAGAGTTGATAGCGTCGGATGATTCCGCGCGTACGCACGCTTTCTGGTGAGACGGCGTTGTCACCGTTTCTCCCTCTTGACTTGTCGAACATAAGCGTTTAAGCCAGGCATGATGCTTTATTTGGAATGGGCATGATTACCGCCGAGAGGTGGGCAGAGGGTTGTAGGCAGAGGGTTGTCGGCAGACGTGTTGTTCGGGGTTGTACTCGTGGATGAACCATATGCAGGTTTGCAGCAAGGACATGAGGCAGGCTGCATCTGTTCGCCGGTTCGAAACTGGTGTTGTTGCAGAGTACAGTACTACAGCAGTAGTTGATAGGAGTTTGATTGGAGGCGTGTAGTCGAGTTGCATAGCGTCATGACATGTACAGTAGTCGACGATTTACATATTCGTGATATGCAGCTGCCGCACTCAACACGTTGTCGCCACCACATCAAAACAACAGCAAAAGCAAACGTGAGCGGTCGTGGCTGCAGGCAACATTTGTACGCCTATTACCACACTGCGTGTTGTTGCCGTACAGTCGACTGTAGAGCAGTAGTTGATAGGAGTTTGATAGGAAGCATGACGTCGAGTTGCACAGCGACATGATGACGCGTGTATGTAGTCGAAATACATGTTCGTGATAGCCGCCGCACGCAACACGTGGTCGCCACAACATCAAAACAACACCAAAAGCAATCGTGGGAAGTGGAAACTTGCACTCATGACAGGGTGTAACGATAGCACGTAAACGTTCGGTGCACGTCGTCGTTGCTGCACCGTGTGCGTGAGTCTCAACGCTATTGATAGGAGAGCATTTCCCGACGCATGGTCGCAAAAATAACATTAAGGGCCCGAGTTGGGTGTCCACTAAAATGAAGTGTAATTAATGTCTGACGACGACATCCTGTTGAGTATCAGGTCACACCATTAGCTACGAACAGAGGAATAATCCATCATGTCCGATGCTGCGATATAGACAGACGGCAGGGAGACACGCTCACTTACAGCGTTATCGTAGAACCCGTTGGATAGCTGCACATCACGATCGATCGCGGATCTACCTGTAGTCTACATTGTACGCATCGACAGCGGCAAACATCCACCCCGATGATGATCTTGCCGTTGGCCAGCCTCTTGACGTGAATCACCTTTCTTGGGAAGATCGTCCTGCAGTATCGCGCACGTGTCTGCTGCGGCGATGGAACCGCGCCAAAGTAGTCTTGCGCATGGGATGTGAGGCAAGTTGATTTGATCTTGCATACTAGAATATGTACACAGCGCGAGAAGAATCTACATGACGATGTGCGGCGAGATTGCTGCAAAGAATGTGTCTGCGGGGGATTATGCTTACCACCTAGACTATACGTTCTTATGCACACATCCAACAGGAGTGATGGGAATGGAATGCCAAATCAACATTGGGGATGGCGCGTGCAGAGCAATTCTGAAGCTGCTACAACACGCCAACTGCCAAACTCACGGCTGCGCTGCGTCCTGCGGTGCCAGCTGCATTGTGGCTGCAGTTGCTGCGTTGCTGCTTGGAATTTGGAACCAGTTCGAACTGGTTCGAACTGGTTCGAACCAGTTCGAACCACATGCAGCGCGGAGCCCCGACAACCGGAAACTCTGTTTGGTGGGGTGGGTGTGTATCGAACAGCGAACACACACACAGACGAAGCGGGGCGACAAGCTGGACCACTCATACAGGGTAGACGAAGAGGGAGAGAGAGAGGGGGCGAGAGACAGGGAAGAGCAGATCTGAACAAGGGAAACGTATCATTCGACATCCATTGCGACCTGCGGAGGAACATGCACGTCTATCCCGAGCGCGGGTTGCTTCAAGGAATGGAGAGCGAGACATAGAAGCTGGTCTCGTACAGCGCCACACCACAACAATGGAAGGAGTGGCTTCGAGTTCCGCTGGAGCATGCAGCCACTCGAGGCAATCTGAACCTCGTCAACTCGCTGCTCGAGGCTGGTGCGGACGGAAGTGCGGGATGGAAGGGTTGCCGCGGCCGTACTCTTTATCGACGCAGCCGCTCTCGGTGGAAGCGAGCCTGTTGTGTCTGCCTTGCTGCGAGCATGAGCTCGACCGGACTTGAACACCGTTTCCGTATCCAGCAAGAGGTCGGCTCTGTACACGGCGACGGTGTGCGGCCACGAAGACGCAGCCAGACGTTTGATTACTGCGGGAGCAGACGTGAACTTCAGGAACCCTGTGGAGCAGATCTCTGTCCTCCACGAGGCAATCGGGGGTGGTCATACACACCGGTCGCCCCGGTGGTCTAGTGGGTAGCTTCGCAGCGTGCTAAGGGCCAGGTCATGGGTTCGAGTCCCGACAGAGTGAGTTTTTTCTCGCTAATTAAATCCTGGTCTCCGTTGGAAGCGACGCGCTGCAAAGCTCGTTGTTAGTAAACATGATCGACTTCGTAAGTCGCGAGGGAAGGGATTGCTGTACCCTTCTCGCGATATAATATCTCAGGCAGGAACCGCAGGAGGGGGACCAACCTCCCCCTCCTATGTGACCCCGGTTGGGTCGTCTAGCTGGTAACAGTGGAGGATAGGGGTCAGAGGGGCAGACGACAGAGTCCAATGATGGGAGACAAAAAAAAAACACACACACACACACACACACACACAGCTAGTGATCGATCTTCTGTTGGTCGGACCGGATCTGAACTCGCGGGATGAATATGGAAGCACGCCCCTCCACCTTGCTGCCGTCAGAGGTCTTGATAGGATCGTGTCTACCCTCTTGCTTAGAGGGGCATTCACGGATGCTCTTGAAAATGGAGGCTCGACGCCACTAATTTACGCATGCCGGTCTGGCCATCAGTCCGTCGTGAGCACTCTTTTGGCTGCCAGCGCCGATGTGGACACCATCCGCGATATTGACAGCTACTCCGCGCTCGACAAAGCCATTTGTTTTTGGCCACATTGACGTCGTTCGAGCACTTCTCAGACATGGGGCGGACGTGAACGCTTGTGACGATGATTATTTTACTCCACTTCACCTTGCTGCTCAAGAAGATCAGGCCGATGCGATTGATGCGTTGATCCAGGCAGGGGCCAACACCGAGGCCAGCCGGGGCCGTCGGTGGACGCCCCTGTTCTCTGCGATGGAGTACTGCAGTATCAGCGCCATTTACACCCTCCTGCGGCACGGCGCATCCTTGACAGTGCAAGACACGGATGGAGACACGCCGTTGCACCGGGCGTGCTACTGGCAGCATAAAGGCCTGGAGGCGACCGTGGGCCTCTTGCTGCGGTCGGGAGCGGACGAAACAGCCGTGAATAGCGCTGACGAGACTCCCGCAGATTTGCTCGGTTATCTCGACGATGACGATGGTAAAAGATATTCCGAAGCGGAGATCGAGCGGGTGCGGCTGTTGCTGGCTCGGGCTCCGACCAACCGAGCGTGGCTTGGCCGTTGCTGGCTCGTGATGCTGCGCTCTTGCGCAAAGACAGGTAGAGCTTCCACCGACGAAACCGTCGGTGCTGATGAAGATTCAAACGATGCTGGTGACAGGAAGAGCGGAAAGTTCAAGGGGGTGAGGAGGGAGAATGGGGAGAGCGCTGGTAGTTGGGTACGCTCTCGGATGAACGGCGCCGGCGAAGTTGGAGTCGAGGGTGGGGCGGGAGGCTGGGCGAGCATTGTGGCCTCCGTGGTAGGGCTGGAGCCGGAGAAGGTGTTCCGCTCGATTGTGGGCTTCCTGTGAAGATAGACGGTGGTCTCGGGAGATCTCAGGAGATATTTACAGGCACGAGCCCCACTTGTTGGGTATAGTTGGGGTGGTGGTACTCGTACCGAGGGCTCTGTGCACCGATACACTGGCTGTGGCCTGTGGACATTACGTACGTATGCCTGACTAGAACGCGTGGCCCGTGCGTCGTTCCGATACCCGTGCTTCGATCAACACCGACATGACACCAACATAATTTGCTGTGTTTTTGCAAGGCACGAATTTTGTGTTGGTTTAGCCTTTCTGCCTGCTTCTCTCATGTCTACCATGTCGCACAGACAAACCGGGAAAATCAAATTTCAAATTTGCGACCCTCAAACTCACTTCTAGCTGCCCTCTACCACCACCGCAACAGCATTGTAGAGTTTCCTCTTGCAGGTACATGTTGGTATGCAAGAGTCGTGTGCGGCAAGGCTAGGAAGAATTCTACGGCCCCCAACAAATGACGTCCTGGTTGGCGTATCACAACAGAAATCCTGGTAGGGTTAGACGTGTGATTTTAAAGAAGAGCTAACGGGAACCACATGTAAATCCGACAGTGTCTCTTGTCGCTCTTTTTTGTTCTGTTCCAAAAGGGAGCCGGCCCCTCAAGCGCAGATCGATCGCTATCCACGAATTCTGATTTCCCGGCAGTGCTAGCGCTGGCGCTCCTACCTCCGGGACCGGCGAGCGGAACACATCATTTTTTCTTGGTCGTGGTGGCTACCCACAAGGCCTTGCATCAAATCTGGGCATGTTTTGTTTGCTGCCGCATTGTGGGATGGACAGACGAGGGTATCTGTGGACGGGTAGAACACGAAAGGGGAAGCTTTTTAGGAGCGTTTTGTCTCAGTCAAATGAGTGTTGACTGTCTAGCGCCGAGGGGCGGTTCTTGGGTTGGGTAAATGGTGCTTAGATGCTAAGGTTACGCAACCGTCTTGCGGAATGTAGCAGTACATTTGCTGAAGGCAGGACAATCCCAGACGAGGTGCAAGCTAACCTGGGGTTCTGTGCTGGAAAAACCAAAGATTTCCTCGGTCATTCCTTGCTTGCGTTCCGTTGTCGCGTTCGTTCTGGCACGTGTTCATGTCTTATGAGTGAACGCAAGAGGCGACAGCAGCAGTGATTTGCTGTGTTTGTCGCGGCCACGTTCTCTTTGTAGCGTAAGTCTACCGGCGAATGGAGCACATCTGCGTGACCCCAACTGATGTTTGACCTCCCGAGGCAGCTCAAGGATGCAAGCAACAGTTCCACACGCGAAACGATTCTCAAAGCGGGCAACGATCCGCGAGAAATTACTGTTCCCAGTCGGTGGAGCTTGTCGACTACCGTGTACGACACAAGATGACACCCCCCCACACATGTTACAACCCCCAGCGCTAATAGTTTCGAATCTCAAACACTGACCCGAAAGACCACCCGGGTTACACAGTAAGGTATCGCACACCCCGACGTTTGGCCGCATGTCATCACGGAGGTCATGCTACAATCACCCGGAGATGTCACAGCATGCAGCGGTGGTCCCCGGTCACATGCAGGATGACACATCAGGGACTACACACACGCAAACCATTGTCCTCTGAGTGCCCGAGAACCACCCCTTAAGGTTATTTGATGCAGACAACAACTTTCCCGACTCGTTGGTATTGTTTCGTTTGCGCCAGGCGATGGGGATGGATGAAATTTGTGTTCATGACACGGCAATACTCTCTCGCAGTTGTCGATGAGGGTGCTGTCGGCGTTCATCGCCAGGTTCACATGATCAAAGAGTTTATCACCTCCCATGTTTCACCTTCTACTTCCACAGAGTGGGCCAAGATTGTAGAGGACGTGTGGGGTTCACAATTGACGAATTTATACGTTGGAAACGGTGAGCCTAGGCAAGTGTGGTCATTACGACGAGTAAGCATCGCGTGTCCGAACGCAGCAACTCGATGCAGCTGGTAAGATTTTATCTTTTTTTATGTGTGTCGTACACAGTTTGTGACGCAAGAAGCACGACAGACAGCAGTTGGTCGTTGAGAGCTTAAGCTATTGGGACTACGTAAGAAGTTAAAGGGCGTTCGTTGCAGAGAAGTACGCACGTCATGTGTTGTGTTAGCAGTAGCAAACTGCTGGGTTGTGCGCACTTGGGTGCCCTCGTCTGTTCAGTTTGTTTGATTCATGCAGGTGGAAATGCGGACGCCGTTGCGCAGCGTGTGACGATGTCGAGCTTTCAACTCCAGGGCCAGTCAGAGCCTCCCGGCAGCAGCTCGACTGGTTTCTACGCTTCGTCTGCCGTCTGAAATAAATCCAGACGAGCTTTGTTTCGCCGTTGAAAGCCCCGCGATATGCGGTTGGGTCGCTTGCTTACGTTCACGCCAGATGTAAGACTAACACCAAATCCGGCGGTGGAAGATGCTGTTTCATCGTGATCTTGGGGCGGTTCAATTGGTTGTAGAGACAAACTAGGGAGTGTTTTCTAAAAAGGGTAAGGCGGTGACCGCCAGCGCGCGCCCGTGTCAATCTAATGTCAAGCTTGCGCGCCACAAACATTTTTTTCTCATGCAAGCTCCTTCGCCTTCAGCGTGATGACTTAGGGCTTTCCTCGGTCGTGTGGCTTTGACTCATGACTCATGACTCTTGGTCGCGTTCGTACCGGGGCTTGCCTGGGTCACGTTGCTTGTGCTGCTCCTGGTGATGCATGGGTTAGGCGCTCGGCTTCGAGTTCCTTTGTCTTCGTATGATTGGCCTATGCCTCGTAAAAATGATGCCCGCACGAATGGCGGCGTCGGTTCATGTAACCGCCAGGGGCGTTTTTCGGTAGACAATCAGGAACCTGGAGGGGTGTTGACTAGATCAACAACCTGGAGGTGCTGGCTAAAGATCCCTTTCAAGGGTGCACTGGGGAGCACAAGGGAAGTTTGGGCACCGATCACAACTTGTGAAGATGAAGTGGGGAGGTTGGGAAGACGGGATTGATCGACCTTGAACTCGTCGTTTGTCCGTGCATCCGACCCGCCGTGTTAGTTGGATTAACGTCACTATCCGAGATGGGGGATTAGCTGCTCAGTTCGGCGTGCGACCTCCGCTGAACCTGACCTCTGGCCACCAGTGCCTTGTCAACCTTGCGGCTGAAACCTTCGGCATGACTAACCTTTTCGAACATCCACCTACGCTGCGGCATTTCACCTTCGTTAAGAATTGCCAGCCGTATCGTACTGTAGGCGTAGCGGTCAAATTGAGAACATGCACTGAGCGACTCTCAGGTGTTTGTCGGGTGTGCCCGCCCTCTTTCATTCATCGTACAGTAGGAGGGTCGGGCGTAGCCACGGTATTGAAACTACGCGGCCGTTGATCTCGTCTATTCCCGCCGCCCGTCCCTTGTCGCGCTTCTCTCGGCATGTGCGTATTGTTTTATATCAAATCTCAGTCATCGCTGGAGGCTTGATATCCCGCCGTGTGCCAATCCAAAGGTGAGAAGGCGATGGACTGCACCCGCGAGGGTTGAGGTGCTCATGATCCACAAGAGACGACAGGAAGAGACGAGTAAGTTCCTTCTTTCATAGGACCAAGACCAAGACCGAGACCAAGACCAAGACATCTTCACTGACAAGACGTCGTCTTGCAACTACCCCCACTTTCTCTTACGAGGGTGCGAATCTCTTTGGGGTATGTTGTCACCACTGTTCGAATCTCTCCATGGTCTATCCCGCCGGGAACGGTAGAGTTGAACATAGGCGCACAGCAGTTGAGTTGAAAGTGATGTGGCCACGCGATATGGAGGTGTAATTTTTCCAAGTTATGGGCAAAACATACCAAGGTGAGAATCGAGCTACTCGTACAGTGGTTTACATGGTTACCATCCATTGTAGACTAATAATACAACGCCGCCAAAGGTTTGGTTTGCGCGTAGCGCGCACTCTCAACATGTCCTCTTTCTCTTGGACCCGTTGGGTGTCATTTCTCCTTGACTGCCGACTCCTGGCTCTCCATTGTCCGAGGAGTTCGCCCTTCCGATAAGTGGCTCGCCGTTCTCGAGGCACCGGGCCAAAGTCTCTGCCTCAGATACCACATGTCCAGGAAAATTCGCGATGCGTGCGACGTGGATTCCAAAGCTTCGGTCGCACGACCCTTGCATCACCTGTAGCATGGGAATATGTGTTCTGCTTGGGTGAGCTTGGACCCGCGTGACAAAACTGCAGATTGTCTCTTTTGACCATTCGAAAGAATCCCCGCGTCTTCAAAAGAACCAGCGAAACGTACCTTATAAAGCATGGTGAGCTTGTTGGATGCCGAGTCTGCTTCGGCTGTCACGTGCAAGTTTTGAACTCCCTTGCCGCCCTTCTCTTGCTCAATCGCCGTCAGTTCGTGGAAATGGGTTGCGAAGAGACAGAGGGCGCCTGTGATGTAACGTGATCAGCAGGAGGGCGGATGGTAGGGTCAAGCGTCATGGCAGGAAACGAACGGGGTTCGTGCGGGCAATTCAGCGTCACCAAGACCAACGCTTGGGCGGGTCGTACGGTGCCGGACGCTCTGACAAGGTGGTTCGTCAAATACAGACGGCTACGACCCTGCAATCGAGGAGCTGTACCGTCGCTTGTTTCTCCTGTGCTCACCGGACGAGATAAGCCTGTCAGCAACCGCCCAAGCAATGCCAAAGCCGTCGCACGTCGACGTCCCTCTTCCCAGCTCGTCCACGATGACCAGCGATTGCCTGGGTGTGAATTGTCGAGCGGCGAGCCGAGGTCGCAAGGAAACGCTAGTTATGACTTCAACGCAAGAGTCTGTGAGCAAGGGAAACGAGAACCTGGCACGCGTACCCGCCGCAGGTCGACTCCACCTGGCCATCTACGACGATGAGCACATCTCCCCTGCCTCCCTCGGTCAACGCACCTGTTGGCCTTTCTGAGAATCGCTGTGGTCTCGAGCATCTCTGCCATGAACGTAGAAACGCCCCGTAGTTGGTTGTCGCTGGCCCCCACCCTAAAAACGGACAGCAAGAAGCAGCGGTGTTTGGCCGAGCCATACAGCAATTACTCGATCTGTTCATCCAGACATCAGTTATTTTGTCTGCTCTTCCAAACATCAACTATTTTGTTGTCTGGCCGAACAGCAATACTCCTTGACGGGTAAACATACTCATCTCCCGTGCAAGATCGATGCAGCTCACTGAACCAACAACTGCATGGGAATGTTGGTCAGGTGGGCGACGAAATACCTGGCACAGATCCTATCGATGACCGTCATCACAGCTTCCTCGGCGGGCACGAACGAGCCAATCTGAGCGAGAAGACAAGCAATTCCGACCGATCTGATGAACGTGCTCTTGCCCGCCATATTTGGCCCTGGAAGGTCAAAATGGTTAGCAGTGAGCCACCGGTGCTGTTGCGTACAGTCAAGGAATCATCTTCCTAGCTATGTTGTCGCCACGCTTTTTGCGCAGAGCGCGGTACATTGTTGTTTTGGTTGTGCGATGTGTCGCACCTGTGACGATGGTCATGCGGCTGTCATTGCCGAGCTTGATGTCATTCGGGATGAACAACCCGGCCCCCCGAGCCGCTTCGACGCTGGGATGCCGTAAACCCTGAAAGGAATAATTAGCGAAGGTAGGCAACGACATTTTCTTGGACGTTGGCCTTGACGGCTTGTGTAATACTACCAAATAACCATCGACACGGCATGGTTCAAAGCAGCCGCATTACAAGTCACCGGACGCAGGCGTCGAACTGATATAACAAAACATCACCTTGATGTCGATGGTTTGACTTCCTACGGGAAGCAATCGCGGTCGTACCCAGTCCCACAAATGGACGCAGACGCACAACGACAAGAGGACGTCCAGTTCGGCCACGATCTTGGCGGCGGACGACAAAACTGGAGTGTACGTGCCTGCAACCGTGATGGCTTGCAAAACGATTTTGCTTTCACAGCGGGACAATGAGCAACATATATGCCAAGTTATAGGATCGTCAGGGCAACAAGATTACAGCAGAATTCTGCACGTGCCGAACAGGTGTCCAAGCGGTGCTCAACCTAATGTGGATTGGACGTGCTGTTCGGGAAGAGACCTACGCACAAACTGGTTTCGGTAGTAACTTGGACGAGACGCTGTTTCGAGTCAACAAGATCTATGAACCAACAACGTGTTTCGCCAACACTGCTCGAGTTATCGCTTATTCGACTTGTAGTCAATTAGGCTATATGATATTTGCTTGTGGTTTATCAAACTACTCAGTAGCTGTATTCCATTTAGCAAATCATGCTTTTTTTAAGGCTCTTCTTTTTCTTAGTGCTGGTTCTGTTATCATGCTGTTGGTGACGAGCAAGGTATGAGAAAAATGGGAGGATTACGTCGACTATTACCTTTTACATACGCTATGATGGTTATTGGTTCTCTAGCTCTTACGGGTACGCCTTTTCTTGCGGGATTCTATTCAAAAGATGCAATTCTTGAAGTAGGCTACGCTACGTATTCTAGTGCGTCGCACTTCGCCTATTGGTGAGGAAGTTTTGCAGCATTTTGTGCTGCATTTTACTCTATTAGACTATTAGCTTTATGTTTTTTATCTGAGTCTATTCGTAATAGTAGAACTCTTTTACTCTCAGCATCTGAAGGTAGTTGGCCTATGGGTATAGTATTAGGCATTTAAGTCTCACCTAGTATGTTTATAGGGTACTTCAGCCGAGATCTTTTTATTGGTTTAGCTACTGATTTTTGGGTAAATGCTTTATTTTCTCTGCCTAAATATATTAGTATAATAGACGCTGAATTTATGTTTTTAAGCATAAAAATATTACCTCTTTGCACTAGTATTTTAGGAGGTTTTTCTTCATATAAAATTTTAGCCGTTATCTATTTCTCTTTAAAACAACTTCTATATTAGGTCGTAAGTTATATACTTTCCTTAACCGTAAATAGTTATTCGATAAAATATATAATGATTTCACTACCCAAAATACTTTAAATTTTGGTCATCATTTTACTTGTAAATCAATATATCGTGGTCTTATTAAAAGTCTACAGTAGGTCCTTTTGGTTTTTCAAATGTATTATTAGATCACGTCAATTAATCCCGTTTTTGGCACTCAGGTTATTTATCATTATTTAGCAAGATTAGGATGCTACCAATCAAAAGCCCAAACAGAAGCTTTGTGTCACCTTTGCACATCCTCGTATTGCTCCTTCAACCTCGTGGCTCGCGCGTCGACAGAACGCAGTCGGTCCGTGGTGAAAAGAACACCAGCCTGTCCATTCGCATTCCGTCGCAATCACCGAGGCAAGTGAGCAATGTCACGTTAAAAACCCGGGGATCCGTAAGATGTAAAATCATTAACAAGTACCTGGTATGTCGTGTGTGAACCAGATCAGGGTTGAAATAATCAATGGTCACCTTTTGGACGGAGAGAGTATGAGCCGCCTTGCACTTGCCCACGAACGCCTGATCCTTCTTGGTTACCCTAAGGTGATGAGAGTGAACCGCGTTGAACTCCAGCTTGATTCTTCCGGCAGGAGCCTGTGGTGCGGCGTTACATGTTTCCGACAAAGATAGATGCTTAAACGCTTGCGGAAGTAACGTTCGTTCCTCTTTTCGATGGCACCACCAGACCACCCGTGCCGTCATATAGGTGTTGTGCAGCACATCCAGATGCAGGTTGGCATCGGACTGCAAACACGCCGCAGTCAAAACGACGAGCGACTGTCTCGGACAAAAACTCTACCCAGCGAGTGCCACGTGTGGTAGTCGACAAAGGCGTGGCACAAACCTTGGACGATGTCTCTACGTTCTTGAGCACGCTGGCCATCTCCTGCGAGGTGCCGGTGAGCTCCTGCCCCAGCCGCTGCAATTCGGCGTGAAATGATGGCCGAACACGAACTTGCTTCCCGTCGCTTTCCCGCAAGTGATCCAAATCGATTACTTCTTCACATAGGCTCTGGAACTTGGACATATCAGAAACAGCCTGCCGAACAAGCGAATGCCAGACCGAGCGCATAAAAAATACCGTTGTGCTCCCATCAGATGGCAGGGGGAACAGAAGCTCCTAAGTGTTGGCTCCTCAGGCTCCTTACCCAGCCGGAGGTTCACGCGTCTCTTACGGACGTCGGTGATTTCGCAGCAATTTTGGCTGCTGACGGGAGAGTACGTCCTGACTACGAAAAGCACAAGAACGAAAACGGCGAGATAAGATACCTTCTGAAGCGGCGAAACGATCCGTTCTCGAAAGAGGGTAGGTCCGCTCTCAGCTTTATCTCCGGCAGCATCATCCTCGAAGGCATCGTCTAGCGCACCAACGATAGAGGAAAGCCGCATCACCGCGCGGTAGACACCGAGCAAGGTGGCCAGGGTAACCCGCTGTGGAGGTTTCCGCAAGAACCTCTGCATGATGCGCTCCAAATCTGGATAAGGCAAAATATTACAAAAACGCAGCCAGATGACACCCATAGCAACTGATTCCTTCGTGTAGAGACATCCGGTTCAACAAGAGACAAGGAGGCTGCAGTGGTGACAGGTCCCAACATACAGTACATGAAGAGATCCGCGAAACCCGACAAGGCTTTTGTCTGAGTGCACCTGCCCCCTGTCTCGTCTCACCAGGGATGCCTCGCAGCATGCCGCTGCCCTTCCGCAGCGTGTCGATCAGCGTCTTTTCGGAGCAGATCGTTTCGATCATGGACTGTCGCGAGGTCATCTCTTGCACGTCCACTAGTGGGTGCTGGAGCCACCTGAGGAAAGATGGTCGATAGAGTAGACATCCGCAGTGCGAATCATCGGACAAGGTATCGTGTACACGAAAGACTTGTGCTGGTTTGCCAGTACTAGAGGATCACAATAACCATTACAAGGTACCACCAGCTTAACATTCAAATCCATCACGAGCTACGAATGTTTGCATGTTTGCGTCGGAACAACAGCACGACAACCAGCGGTTAACCTACGCCCCCCTCCTCGTAGAAGGGACTCACTCTCTGAGCAACCGCGATCCCATCGAGGTGCAAGTCTGGTTCAATATAGAGAAAAGGCTGAAATCCAGTCTACCACAGTCACCCTGCCCAAGCGCTGACGCCAGCTGGAATCTCGTGGGCGAGGGAAACACGCCCATCGCCTTTGACGCCGCTGCATCATAGTGCATGTATTTCCGAAGTTCATCTGTTCGACAGTTGGTCGGCGATTGCGGCGGGGGGTGCAACAGTCGCGTTGAAATTGGTTAGTTTCGAAGACCAGCACACGCAGAGAAACATGGCCACTTTCCACGGGGGTTGTGAGTGGAATAAGCAATGGGCACTGACCGACCAACCAACCCGTGCTTTGTTTACTCAATCAGAAGAACACTTACCAATGGTGAGAGAAAAGGTGCCATGGTTCGACGAATCCTCCATGAGATCTAGATGCCGAACCAAAGCCTGGAGAGCAGCCAACGCGAGAGTCATTTCACGCGCCGCTGCGACATGGGAAACGTCGGCGCTTTCTCCGCTCGGGGCGCTTCCATGAGCAGCAGCACCACCGCCGACGCCACCAACGCGAACAAGAGTTGCGAGATCCTGCACGGATTGCGAGAAAAAAAATGAGAGTGTAAGCGATGCGATACAAACAGCGAACCGTGTCCCGAAGCAGACAGCAGAGTTGAATGAGGTGCAACAGCGCTGTACCTTGATAGTCCCGTCTTTCGCGCTCTTGAAGGCCTGCAACGACTTGGGTGTGCACAAGACACCGCAGCGCGCCATTATCTCTTCGAGCCCCGCAGCCTGCGGCCCTTGCTCTTCGAGTATGCATTCCCTTGCACCAACCTGGAGTGAAAGAGGGCAGCGTTTCCGAAAGCTTGGTCAGAAAACACGTGGATGCACCTATCCTTGTGTTGATAAACCAGGTGCGGTTGTATTCAATACAACAGGAGCCTACGAAATGTATCTGTATTGTGCGCTTGCTGCTGCATTTCTGCCTAGCCAACTCATAGATGCCCCACGGGTGGGCCGTAGAATGTTCGCCACTTCCTCCACTATCACCTCCTCTCCTCCATGTCTTTGCTGCTTGTAACAGTCCTGGTGTTGGCGATGTTGATTCTAGGTTGCAAGTCCGGAGTGCTCGTCTCTGCGCGTCGGTCCACGAATTGCGAAACCCTCTTCACAGGCAAATCACCTGCACGACCACACCCTCTAGGTCCGAGAGCGCGCAGTCCAGCAGGCCAACGATCCGAAAAGCCTGGTTAGCGTAGGCCACCCCCACGCCCCCTGCCACGTTCGCGTAGGCCGACATCATCACCGCCGTTCCGCTAGCCGCATCCTCGTCTTGCCGTCCCTCTCCCTCCCCTGCACGTAGAGACACCCAAGCGAAAACAATGAAATACTCTGCCGAAGTTTGCTCTGACAGAGAACGAGAGAACGAGAGCGTCCCTACGGCGGCTCGCTTGGATCGCACATGCTCGTGAAACACGCCGTTGGCAATGCATAGATACCAGGGAAGTTTCGTTTGGTTCTCGAGATTCCCCGCAAGTGTACACCGAAACATGCAGGACGTTTATAGCACCAGAGGCGGCTTCTCAAGAACGGTGTGATAAGCATGCATCAGAGCACCCCTTTGACGCCAGCAGAAAACAACCAAAACATACTCAAATGATGCATGATTGCACCCCATCGTTTCAGCAGCCGCCTTGGCGGGACACAGGGGTTACAAGTAGCGAGGCTCATGGACACGTGACTTGATGTGTTTTGATACCGAAACAGGCCACCTTAAAAACAAAAGCGCACACTCTCGTCCCCGTCCATCTCTTCCCCTCAAGCCCCTAAGCTAAACTCAACAGCGACACATGCTTCAAGCTGCACAAGAAGTAGCGCTTCTTCGCTTGGGAGAAGGGCGCAAGGCTCTATCTCTTGATTAGTTACGAAGCATCGAAGTGCACCATGCAAATGACCTCTTACCTGTGGATGGATATGAACTACAGTATTTCGTTGTGTCATCGTAAGAACAACAAAAACAATAGTCGCACCTGATAACATGTCTGCCATAATAGCCTCCACATTGCCGGGAGACGCAGATAGGCGCCGGGTCCATGTGCTCGACCCCGCCAATTGCTCCCATACTTCGATGCGGAAGTTTTTGGCAAGGAGAGCCGGGACGAGTGACGAAAAAACTTTCACGCTGTGCAGCAGCACCGGAGAGAAGACAGTACGCGAGAAGGGCCACAAAACAGTGCCGTTGGATAAGGACCAAAACACGACTTCTGCTCTCTGCAATCAGATATCAACCGCCGTACGTAGGTGCATGCGGCAGAGCAGCGGAGCGATGGGCAAGGTACCGAGCGTGTACGATAGGCACGCTCTGACCACTGACCGAACTCCGGTGGGTTGACAAAAACAGCCAATTTCGTACTTTCGCAACGCTTCGAATAAAAGGTAGCACAGGGCGGGGGAGATATGCTTGAGACCTTCTGCAAGCAGGAACGCGACCTGGAAGCTACTGGTACATACGCAAGGCATACCAAACACGTACACCAGTTGCCTGGCGGACGAAGGGTGTAGCTCCAAAATTGTCTCTACTGGTTGCGATATTTGATGCCCCCCCGCCAACGAGACGGAGGTCTGACCTGATCGTGATGCTTGGAAGACCCCCAGATTGGAAGGATACGGCGGACGTGTTCTTGAAGGCCTCACGTGATACCAGATCCGCGTCGAGACCATGAGCTGTGAAGTATACCCATTCTTTACTTCGACGGAAGAACCGGACTAAACCTCCGATGCTCTGTTGGGAGAGTACAAGGCCAAATCGAACGAGAGGCGGTTGTCTAAGAACCCAGGGGAATGTCATGAGCGGTTGGCTGTACAGGTTAAGAGTAGAGAAAATATGAACGGGATGGGTGGGACCACGGAGTCAATATGTAGCAAATCCAACTTTTCGACCATTGTTCCAGCGTATACATAGATCAAGACGCATTCGAGCTTCCACGCAGGATCTGGATTACCTTCTCCTCTCCCGACAAACCTGTGTCTGAACGCCTTGTGACAAACCCCCATAGGGCGGTGAGTTCGCCCGACGAGGATGTTTACAACAGTAGAGATCGAGATTGTACGTCGAAGTACATGTTAGTACGAGCAGCAGGTGGTGAACCGTGTACCATATGAATGAAAATGCATACAAGCAACAGACAGGTCTCAAGATGCAGTTTTGCTGGCCCTGCTGCCGCGATCTAACCCCAACAGTCATACTCTTTCGAAATTTGAACATGCAGCCTCATGGTGTCTGCTACAGCATCGCTACTCTTGGTTTTCTTTCGAAGACAGCGAATTGGTGCTACGAATACATACTGCCGGTCGCCCCGGTGGTCTAGTTGGTATCCTCGAAATCTTCTAGAGGTCAGGTCGGGGGTTTGAATCCCGGCGTAAGCGAGCATTTCTTGCACAGTGAGTTTTTATGTCGCTTCCGCTCCTGGCGTAGTGGATAGCGCTAAAAAGTTCGTGTGTACACAGAGGGCAGATAGTGCTGAACTCTTCTCGCATTAAAAATCGAAGGCAAAGTACCGCAAGAGGGGACGGTCGAGAGGAGCCCTTCTGTCTGACCACGGGTCGGAGCAAAGGGCACTAGTTCTGTGAGCGCGTGTGAAGACATGCTCCGTAGGATTTCAAAAATGGAGTGTTCGTCTGGCAAACACTTTTTCGACTCATGTACGTCTGTCTCTATGGCGGAGTACACGAAAGAAATCTTGTCATCACGAACAATACGACAACTTTGATCATCATCTCGCCTCTAGTCTTCGGAAGAACGTGGCGAACTGGTCCGACATCTTGCGCTCCGCACGTGTGCCTGCACCTCGGCCGCTGGTGTGTTTGTGTTTTATTCGGACCGATATTTGGGGCACAATGATTTGGCCGATCATACCCACCCAAGCAAATTTGACCCATACACCCCCTTGGCCGTGTGCTCCATGTGCTGCAAAACAAAGTAAACAGCAGTACAAGCAACTCATCACCGCACGTCTGCACCACCTTTGGCTCTTGGCACCCCGCTCTATCTCGTCCCTCCGTAGTGGAAGCAGTGCCAGTGCCAGTACCAGCAGTGGGAAAAAGAGGACGCGAAATGATCCGGCTGAAGAAGAAACAAGATGTAAGAGCGCTTCGAATTTTTCTCGATTGGCATCAAAACTGCTCGCGGTCTCTATTGCCTGCTCTGTCGAGCTCGTTCGTTGTGTCCGATCAAGAGGACGCTGGCAATCCAGTTTCGAGGTCGAAAAAATTATTGCAATTCGGGGCCAACATGGGGACCACTGCCGGCTGTGCTGTAACCCTGTTGTATTCTGTGAACGAGTCGAAAGTCCTTTGAGTTCAAACAGAACCTGGGATGGATGTCCCCACAGGTCCCCTGTCCCCCAACAGTAGTCTGCAGCAGCAGCCATGAGTTGCGTAGCATCCAGCCGAGAGTGAGAGTGGTCTTGGGGTTTTGCATGCTTCCTTCGTCTCGCCTTGTCACAGAAGATTCTGGCGTGCTTTTGTAATGGTGTAATGATATCTGCAAAGTCCGAAGGATGCTCTCTCACTTGGCCCGCGTTCGCGGTACACCGCTGTGGGAAAAGGGACCGCCGGGTTCCATTCATATGCACAGTCTACAATGAGCATCGCAGGCATGGGACGGCCCATGAGAACGCGGCAGCAGTTGTTAGACCTACAGTCAGCAATCTTGGAGAATGAGCGTGATTAAATTGCATGTTGAAATCGGTCCTGACAAAATCCCTTTCATCCAGTTTCGCCCACAGCTACAGCAAAAGAGTTGGGTTACTTGAGGCCGGTTTGACCGCTCGTAGCATGATGTGAGCACAGCGTATGTTGGTTGGTAATGGACTACATTCCGGTGCGCCGGTAAATTCACTTGGTGACCTCGTAACCTGACTCTTCATGTACACTGCGAGTTGGAATTTCTCTGGAGTGAAAAATCGTAATTTGGGCGAGGAAAGCACGCTTGGACAGCGCATGTTGCTGTGGTCTTGTATGCGGTGAGTAATCACAACAATGAGCGAAGGATATGCCGCCCTTCTCGCGTCAAATACGGAGGGCGAACACCGCAGGGAGAACGGGAAACATCCGAACAAATCCAGCGTTTACCTTCCTCCTGTGCTACCCCCGACTGGTACGTCGAACATATACTTGCAAGTGCCAAGAAGAAAGACAAGACGAAACAGAGACACACACCACACCCCACTCACACCCGTCTGTGCTCGACAACAACTTGTGTGCCGAACCGCTTGGTACCATGATTTCAGGATGAGAAGGCCGCTGAGGCAGCAGCGGCAATGGAGATAGACGAGGAAACACCATCGAACGCGGCCGCTCAACCAAAAGCGGACGAGGAGAAGGCCGCAGGGAAGCTTCATGTTCTGGGGATTGGCGGCCGAAGGGCCAAGAGGGGTAGTGCGAAGGCAACCGGAACAAAGAAGACACCGGGAGAGATTCGTATACAGAAGGGTGAGTGAGCCTGACAACATGGACGCAGCAGCTATTCCATGATAAATGCCTGAGCAGCGAGTACGTTGGAGGACATCTCGTCATCATTACATGTTCAGTGTGATCAAGGTTCGATACACACTCATTGAACACCCTGATTTGTGTTGTACCAATCGTGCTGCTCTCGGAAACTGCAGACATTGCGGACTTGGATGGCGGAAGCGTAGCAGAGATCACTTTCCCAAACCCCAACAACCTTACTTCCTTCAAGGTCAAGGTGAGAATCGATATGTAGGGCTTTGATCATCTCAACTTTTGGAGCTGGCGATCCGAACTTCTTGCACCCCGGGCGCGATGTAATGCCAGTTAAGTTCATTAATCATCATCGTGGGCTACGTTGCGGAGAGACCAAGATCATCGATTGAACGTAATTCACGACCTGGACCAGGCTTCTGGGTTTTCCATTCATGTTCTTTTATAAGCATGCACGGCGGTTCTTTTTTGGTTTACGTGACACACCTCTGCGTCCTTTACATCCGCACTTACTCCTCCGATCGTGCGTGTGGAATGTTTTGCCACAGGTGCAGCCGGACAGCGGGTTCTGGAAGGGCGCGTCGTACCACTTTACCTTTACTATTCCTGCGCTGTACCCTCACGACCCACCCAAAGTGAGCAACGCTACGGTTAAGCACACAACCAGGTTGTGTACACAACAGTAAGCACAATCGTACGGGCCAGTTTTCCTCAAGCCCTTTTGCTCCGCCCTCGTCGTTGTCCACTTGTTTCGGATTTTTTTCTGAGAGTTTTCCCCCGTCCGGTCCTTCCTCGCGGTGCAGGTGCTGTGCGAGACCAAAATCTACCACCCCAATATAAACTTGCAGGGGAACGTGTGCCTCAACATCTTGCGGGAAGACTGGAAGCCGGTGAGTCTTCGTGGCTGTGCTGACATGCGGTTTTCCGAGTTGTTGGAGTGTTTTTTTATCTCCAACCTGTCCTGTACCTGGATTCGAGTATCAGCTGTCTCACGAACAACCTGCTGTCGAGTGTGATGGCCTGAAACGCCCGGCATGAGTATCTCCAAGTCGGTCTGGTGAGTGGGTTGCACACGGCAGGCTTGGCGCAATTGCGATATGTTTTCTCCATGAATGCGGCTTTCGGCAAGCTTGGTCGCGCGAGGGACCAGTACGTGCTGTGCTTTTGCAGCGCGAGCGGACTACGCCGTACCAGTATCCCCCGAGGCCGAGCGCCACCGAGGATGACTACAGCGGCCGCATTTGGTGTGATTAACTTTGATGTTGGTGTAAACTGTTGAACTCGATTGGTTCATAAATGCTGGGATTATCCGTCGCTGTGCAGGTGTTGGATATCAACGCGGTTATCTACGGGCTCATCTACCTGTTCTACGAGCCAAACCCCGAGGACCCCCTCAACCACGAAGCTGCAGAGCTCTACCGCGACAACATAAGCCAATTCGAGCGAACAGTGAAGAGGACTCTCGCAGGCTGCGTCATGCACGGGGAGACATTCCAACGACTGATTTGACTTGATGACATCCTGCTCAGTGTATGTTTTTGTTGTTTTTGGACGCTGAGGGTTGAGCAAAGACGTTTTGGGAAGGCTGGCTGAAGACCCTCGATCGACTGGCTCGGTCTCCGAAGCAGCCCTTGATCTTGCTCGGATGGCAACTGCACAGTTGGAAGAGAATGCTCGAATGTATTATACGCGGCGGCGTTATGCACACAAGCATCTCCTGCGTTTTCCAGACATGGTTTTGGACCCGCCGTGCATTCAACGAACGTAAATTGTGCGATTTCGATGAAGCCGCCAAGAGCTGGGTTCGCTCGAAATGCATCCTGGTCGGTAACGACAAAAGCTCTCAGACTTGCGCAACCACTACCATAGTTGACGTGTTTTCGTATTGTTGAGTTGCTTTCTCCGCCGTAATGTCCCATCTTCATGCGGGTCTCGCACATAAGCACCCCGGGGGGAGATGCACTGATCATACTTAAGGTGCCCTGCTGCATGACGCTGCAGTTCCACTGCTCTCTGAGGTACTTTCTCGTGCCCCAAACATGAAAATCTGTGAAGGGTACGTTTACATATCTGTAAAATGTATACTCAATCGCGGATGGATGGACGAACTTGTTCCACCACCCGAGATGCAGGTACGGAGAGCGGTATAGGTAGATACATCGGTGACACAAGATATCACATCCCTTGCCGTGGACTGATTTTCAAAGCTCCGTTTATCCACAGCAGCAAGAGTAGGGATACAGAAAATGGTTGCGTTGGAACAGCCTCATCAAGTACATTCCGAAACTTGTCGTTTGGGTGCTGTATCCTCTTCGTGTCGTGGAGTAGTTGAGCTCAGAAAGTCAGTCCGGGGTCTAGGGGGGGGGGTGATATCTTAAGCAAGTTGGGTACAGTAGACATGTAGGCTTATCTCTCGCCAACAATCTAATTCCTAAAATCCAAACCACCACATGGCTTTCCAGGTTACCATATATGACCGCCTGGGCGACCAGCCAGTCCCTTAAAGCAGTACAACATATCAACACATCCATTCATGATAGACTAAAGCAAACCAATAATATGTGTCTTTATTTCTAGCATCGACCGTGCTAACCGGCTGACCAATGGAAAGACATCGGTCTTAGTGCGGTTGAAGACACAAAACACTTCTATCTGCCATGACCTGGGACCCCGTGAGGGGGCGTGGGGGAGGCAAAAACTATCCTCCGGATCAAAGACAGAAACAGCAGCAACAGAAGAGAGTGGTGGATCGCGTGGATCTCGATCTGAAAATGCGGGGGATTTGGTGATGTTGGGGGGTGGTATTTTTTGCTGCACAACCCGAAACCCCCTTGAGAAATTCTCCAACGGTTTCCTTCGTAGACGCGAAGTAGCGGCACCCAGACCAGCACCACGGCCAACACTGGGTACCCGCGCCGTACACCAGAGAAAAGGCTTTCTTTCACGCCTGTGGATTGTCTCGTTTGATTGGCACTCTAGTCAGCTTTGCTCGGAGCGTACCATCAAGTGATTGCTCGACTCGTGCTGGAGAGCGAGAGGAACCTTGTAACGCAATGTCTGCGTATGTTGACGATGCGCCTGCTGCTGATGGGCGTATCGTGGAGCTTGCGAAGCAGACCACTTCTCGGCTCGAGGTGCTCTGGGATGAGGTTGGGTATACCTCCGAAGAGAAGCGTCGTCAGATGCAGGGTCTTGTCGATGGATTTCAGACTCTGTGCGAGAACAAGGTGCGTTTGTCGTTACCTACACACTCGTCAACTATTTTGTAAAGCTGGACTTCGTCGAGGCACTGCTGTAGTGTGTCTTCAGTATAGCTCCTCCTCACGCGAGCCCGACCGCAAGGTAATGCCATGCCAACCAGTTACTCTGTGGAGGGATGCGCCGATATCAGCTAGTTGACAGCATCGTGGTCAATAGTTGGATGATATTGACTGGCAACAATATGTTGCTGCACGCTTCGCCGGCTCCGTTCCCTCAGGAAAAGCAAGAGGAGGGTGTGAAAAGCCAGTTCGTGACTTCTATCGCGGACGCAAAGGATCGAATCAAGACCGCCAGAAAGAAACTCGGACAGGAGCATACAGAGGTGTGTTGACGATATTTGATGTCCACTTAGTTCGTGAGGACGGCCGAAACCTACTCCTATTCTAGCGCTCTAAGATATTGTAGAGTCACACCGCCGTATCATGAGTATCCATGTGTTTGCCCTGTTGTAGACACCGGCATCCTGCCGTATACTGGAACATTTCATTCACCCTGTCGCTTGCCCCGATTTGTCCACCATTCCCTCCTCTCAGGACTCCTCCACAGACGACATGAGCCTCACGGACCAGCTTGCCTATTACGAGATGGAAGCAGATGCAATCAAGAAGGTGGTTATTTCGTTTGTTCACGGGCACAGGGGGCGGCCGAGCAAGTGCTTTTTTGACGCATCATATGGGTACAGACAGCCGAAGCGTAGAACTTGTAGTCCATCGTATGCATACATGCTGCCGTGAAATGATTGCACAAGGCTGTAGTCGTGTTGGTAGAAGCCTCTAGCGACAAACTTGATGTGCTGTCCGTTGGGAGAAGATTGACAACGTGAGACGCCCGGCAAGTCGGCGCGCGTATTATGGTACAACAACAAAAGCGCGATTTACACAACCGCAGGAGAGCGTGAACGAGTACAAAGCTACAGACAGATTTGCCACTACTGTTATATAAGGGTGTGCCGGGCCTCTCCTTTGACAGATGTGCAAGGCACAGCAGGAGAAGTTCGAGAAGTTGTCCGAAGAGTTGGTGCACATGAGCATGGTGCTGGGAGATGACTCTGATGCCGACCTGGCTGAGTGGAGGGACCTCGAGTCTTCCTTAACCAACGAGAGGCTCCAGGCCTTCAAAGACAAGAAGACAGAGCTCAACAAGGCCACGGTGAGCTTTCGATCCATGGAAATATTGTTATGAAATGTGGAGAACCCGCTAGGGGCGTATCAAGTTCCGAACCAAATAAAGAGTCTGGCGGATCCTGCCAACATCGCACACCTCGTCCTGCTTCATGCCAACCACACCCGCACGTTGTGATCGTTGCACGTCGTTTCCTTTCCACTGAGTTGTTCAACTCATGAACCGCTTGCTGTTGGTCTGAATCACCAGGAGGACCGCATGCAGACGGTAGCATCACTGGTGAGCACGGTGCAGGACCTGATGGAAGAGCTCAAGATCCCTGCAGTGACAGCCCTGGACAACCGCATCTTGGGCTCGCTGGCAATCCCATCCTCTGCCGGAGTACCAGTTCTTCAAACAACCGAGGTATCCTTTCGCCTTGTCGGCTGCGAGATTTTGTTGGGCAAGTTTTTTTTGGTGCCTACGCCAAATCTCGTTTGTGATTCATGCTGGAATATGTCAACCCGTTTGTTTGCTCCCACAGCGAACGCCATCGTCTGTGGGCATCGACAGAGCCGCGCTGGACGAGTTGACTGCGAAACACGAAGAGCTCATCATGCAGAGGGTGAGCACGACATTGGGATATTTTTGGTTTCCAAGTCTCGATGAAATGCTACTAGGGTCGAAGGGGACCCTTCGATCCAAATCCTTCCAGAAGACCATCTCTTCAAACAAGGCAAATGAAATGAAGCAGATGTCCTTTCCCGAGCGGCGGTTTTGAAAAATTAAAAAGATTGACCCGTCAAACGTATTATAACCTTGTCCAGAACACTCGTCGGGAGAAGCTGGAGAAAATGGGCGAGGAGATACTGGACCTTTGGCAGCAGCTGGACATCGGCAAGGATGAGCAGGTGCCTCTCGTTTCAATGATTTTGCTATGTGGTATGTTAAGAGACGAAAGGTATCCTCGACAACGGTTTGACATTGCCATACGCTCTGTCAGCGTGTGGGAACGCCTGCGAAGTGTTGCGACCCTGAGGAGGGTACTCGGTCGGCGCAAAGATCCGTGCTTCGCGTCTCCCGAGGCTGCCTCGCCCGATACCCTGCGACACCGCCGTCAAACAGAATTGTATCAGAAGGTTCCGATTGCGCCTCTCTGGAAACCAGGGGCCGTCAACAACACAACACCGATGGCGTGCGTCCTAAACATGAGCGGTATATGACCCGTGAGGCACCCGATGGCGTATTCACATTACACCGCTAATGTACGAACCCATTACATGCGTTGCTAGAAGGCCAAGGACAAGTTAGAAATCAGAAACGCTAATTTAGTGGAGATCCATCCCCTCCGGTTCGCGCAGGATGTGTTCGCTAAGAGCGTGGACGGGATGGGGCTACAGACGCTGGAGGCTGGAGAAACGGAACTCAACCGCCTCCGGAAGCTTAAGCTCGAAAAGATGGGAGAACTCGTGCTGGCGTCCAGGGCAAAGATCCGAGGTATGCATACAGCGGGCACCCGGGAAGGTTTAGTGTGCGTTGATGCCGATGATTTGTTCCTCTTTCTCTTTGGACCACTGGACTTCGCTACCAAATCGAGTATCTTCGGCGAGGGCTTGCCATGTCAACGAAATGTCGAGCGTGCTGCAGCCACCGCGTTGCGAACGGACCGTTCAAATGAGATTTTAACAGCGATGCCCAAATTCAAAGCGTTTATTTTGCCGTTGTCCCGACATGCGTGATTTCGCCATAGAACTCTGGGATGAGATCGGATACTCCGAAACCGAGCGGCTTGCGTTTAAGCCAATGCTGGTCACCGAAGAGGGTTTCACGGACGAGCTCCTGCAACAGCACACACAGGAAGCGGACAAGCTGGCCATGAAGTTCGAGACCATGAAACACATCCTGGAGGTGAAGTGGCCAGCATCCTTATCCTTGGGTGTAGACGTTGTCGAGGCTCTCGAGGGTGCCAACAGTGAAGGTGGAGATATTTCCCTACTCACGGGTTGGAGTATACGCCGTTGCCTGCCTGACCTGGTGTATTCCACGCCGCACCCTTCGTTGCCCTTTGCAGAAAATTGAAGAGCGCGAAACCCTTGTCGAGCAGCGAATCGAGTACGAGACCAGCACGAAAGACCCGGATCGCCTCAGGCCTAAGGGCAGCCAACAAGAGCGCAGAGAGCGACGCCGAAGGTGAGGTCGCCCCATCGAACTTTGTTTGCCCTAGGAACCGTACTGCGCGAGTAGAAGTGGCAACGGTGGAAGGTGGTGCAACGAAAGGGTCTCGTTCGAAACACATCTCACGGAGTATCGTGAAGAGTTGTCAACGAGAATCGAGGATGTAAAGGTTGCGACAGCGGGTGATTTGGCGTATGCATCTTGTTTTCGCTTTTTGCCTTTCTTATTTGCAATGCTGCATTCAACACGCGCTTGTTGATACTGGCTTTGTGTAGTTGCGCGAGTTTATCTGATCCTTGGGTACCGTCCCCTCCTTCCAGGCTCCAGGAGGAACTCGAGGCGGAGAAGCGCATCAAGAACCGTCTCCCAATGCTCACGAGCAGCCTGTCTAAGACCATCCCCCAGTGGGAGAACG